CCCTCCTCCCCCTTCCCCCAGGTCCGGCTGCCCGCCGGTGTCACCTACACGGCCGTGGATGGTTTGTTCCTGTCCATATTACCCGGGGAGTCCGGGTGGAATGTAACGGACCTGTTCAGGTGCGTGTATGTATGTATGTATGTATGTATGTATGTATGTATGTATGTATGTATGTATGTATGTATGTATGTATGTATGTATGTATGTATGTATGTATGTATGTATGTATGTATGTATGTATGTATGTATGTATGTATGTATGTATGTATGTATGTATGTATGACGTTGATTACACTGTGGGCTGAAAAGCCGGGGGCCCAGGGCCGAAGCACAGCGCGGGGGGCGGGTGCATACGGCTGGTTAGTCTCATGCACTCCGCCCCCGGGTCAGGCCGCACGGGAAACGACGGCCGGCACGCAACAGCGCTGTATGTATGTATGTATGTATGTATGTATGTATGTATGTATGTATGTATGTATGTATGTATGTATGTATGTATGTATGTATGTATGTATGTATGTATGTATGTATGTATGTATGTATGACGTTGATTACACTGTGGGCTGAAAAGCCGGGGGCCCAGGGCCGAAGCACAGCGCGGGGGGCGGGTGCATACGGCTGGTTAGTCTCATGCACTCCGCCCCCGGGTCAGGCCGCACGGGAAACGACGGCCGGCACGCAACAGCGCTTGTTTGGCGCTCCAACTAGACGGGATCTATGCCCGTTGGTCTCCTAACATAAACGAAGTCGCAACTGGGGGGCTCTTCCTGCCGACCGAACGAATGTATGTATATATGTTCGTGTGTGTTAGGGAGCGGGGCGGGGCGGCGGTAGTACAGTGCAGTGTCCACATGTTTCCCAAGTGCCACTGGTCACCACCACCGCACGTTACAAAACCCCGTTTCATGCAACCTGTCACTCTTTCCACCGCTTCTAAACCTGCCGTACCTATCGTACGGCTCCTTTCCCCCCCTTTTCCCCCCTTTCCTCAGGCCCCGTAGTTTTGGCTTCCGGCTTTCGTTCGCCTACACCCGCCGTACACTCACATTGGAGCTCCATGCGCTGACGTTGATGCGGACCATACCCATTGACATCGAGGAAGTGGGGTCCGGAGGGGGAGGGGGAGGGGGCGGGGGGAGGTCGACGGTGGATGAGCCACAGATGTTGGCGGACAGCAGTGGTGGCGCCGCAGTGGCAGGTACGGCAGCGGCGGGTGCTACACCCGCACCAGAGGGCTGCAGCGCTGACGACACGAGCAGTGGCGGTGTTCGGTCTCGTCGTACGGCTACTTACCCCTCCGCACACACCCGGGCGACTGAGTTTGGCTACTGGATGCGTAACCCGGATGTCGTACGGATGGAGGAGGTTCAAAAGATGGCTGGTGAGCGGGAGGTGCCGCTGCAGGGGCCGACCAAATTTAGATCGCGTAATAGGGTCATGTGCAAAAGTAAGTTTGTGTAGTACAGAGTACGGCATCAACTGCAAGAGAATTATGATATTAACAGTATAGGTAGGGTGTATGTAAATGGCCAAGTACGGCATCTGATGCTGCAGCTGTTCCTGTAGCCGCGCGAAACACCCAGGGGGGGGGACCAGGGGGTTCGGGGGGTTGGGGGGGGGGGAGCTGCACCGCTGTAGAATGTGTGCCTTTGTTAGTGTAGAATAGAAGGGGGGGAAAGGGGAGGATAAGGATGGGAACAAAACACACACGGAGGAGTTGTGTTGACAGCTCCAATATCGTGGTAGGAGTGGATCATTGGTCGGAGTTGCAGGTAGGTAGGTAGGTAGGGTCAGGTAGCCCGCCAGACGGCCACGCTGTTTTAATGGAGTCATTAACTCAGTGGGGGAACTTTGTCGGCCACCCCCCCCAACACACACACACACCTGTCACGTCCTTTCGCTCCCCTCCTCCCTCCTTCGCATCACCCGCTTATTCTTCACCGCTCTCCCCCTCGCTCCCCTTCGCTCCCCTCCCCTCCCCTCCCTATCCCCTCATGCAAATGCAGGCCGCATGCAGGACGTGGCTCGCAAGGTGGGGGGTAACTGGCGCCAGATGCCGTCACCCCCCGGGTGGTGGACTACTGGCTGGGTGGACAGGTAGGGGGCCAGTGATTTTTTTTTCATTTAGGGGGGGTCTCAATTTATTCCGACCTAAGTAACAAAGTTGCTAGCGTCGCCGTAATGTATTCCTTAAGAGTGGGGCGCTGGCGCGTTTTCGTTCATGTGCGCACTCTTCATGCACATGCATCGATAGTTCTGGCACTGTTTGTGTCTGAGCCCGCTTGGCACTGCGAGCGCTCGGGTTGGGCGCCTCGCCGCATTCGTTGTTGTCGAGCTGATTGGGTGACAGCTTGCGCTTATGCTGATCACAACCGCCATGGAAGTCAGGGGTAATGGCGCCCGTGTCATCGGTCGCCGCTGGCAGCAACACCATTGCCGATGCATTACCGACAACAGCACCGCCGTCCCAAACGCCTTTATCAGGGAAAAATTCCAGGCTTATCTTGCTTTTTTGGTGTTTGTTCGGCGTTCAAGTCGTTGCCTTTTGCGTGTTTGGCTATGTAAGGACCGGTCATACATTCTGCTATGCCGCGTTGACTCACGGGCTTGACCTTCTTACGGCCCCGCATATCTGTTCTATGATCGATAATATTAAATTCTGCACACTACGGAGCAATCTGGCAGCAATGGACGTTTTGGGGTGGAGGAATGAAAATGTACGGATCGGCCTCAATTCATTCCCTTTTTCCAAAGGCCAAAATGGCCTCTTTATTCCTAATAAGGAATATATTACTTAAAAAAAAACACTGTAGGGGGCCCTCTCGTGTGTCTGTGTGTGTATGTATTTATGTCCCAGTAGTACAGTTGACCAGCCAACCAATGCAACTAAAGCAACTGCAAGTACAACTAACAATACTGACACAACCAATGGAAACTGTGATTGCCCCTCCCTATGTATCATTTCAGCCACATTTGGACACAGTTAGTGTGTGTCTACAATGGCGATGGTTTGGGTGGATGTGTGAATGGGAGTCACTACTCCCCCCCTCCCTCCCCCCCTCCCTCCCCCCCTCCCTCCCCCCCTCCCTCCCCCCCTCCCTCCATCTCTCCCTCCCCCCTCCCTACCCCCCTCCCTACCCCCCCTCCCTCCATCCATCCCTCCCTACCCCCCTCCCTACCCCCTGTCACACAGGTTCCTGCGCCTGTTCTTGCTGACGGCGCTGACTGACTCGAAGGAAGGGAAGACCAAGAACCTCAATCTTCAGACCCTGTACGACACGACCGTACATGTACGTGTGTATGTAGAGCGTCACAACACGAGTGTGCGCCGGGGTAGAGGCCCGCCTTCGTGTGTGTGTGTGTGTGTGTGTGTGAGATAGCGGGGCCGTTGGATATTTAGTCATTAGTTATTATTATTTGTTACTTGGGCAGAGTACGGCAAGACCTATTATGCAGCATTGCGGCAGGAAAGCCCCGTGCAACGA